AGTAACATTAATAGCTTACTAAATACTGTACAGTAGTAAACAAGAAGATAAAACGAAAAAATTTTGTCCTCATTATTAAAGGTAAAGGTTGAAACCTAAGGCTCAGGGCTTGCACAAGCCAGTGTCCATTTCTCCTCCTTAGGGCATTTGGGACAGGCTGTGGGGGTTCACCACTCCTCCCGCACAGCAACTCTGATCTACCTTCTTCCCAGTATATGTCAGTACCCATTTATACTTCTGGTTGGGGAGAGAAGCATTGTCTTGCCAAGGATACAACAAGGGTATCGAACCCCCGACCTCAAGATTGACAGTCAGAGTCACAATCGTTGCGCCAACTGCTTCAACCTTACATTATTAAAACAAAATAATATAATATACTGTAACTCCAGACAATTTGATATTTTTTTTAAATGATTGGATAAAATGCGTTTTGTTTTTTGAAGTCTTTTAACCATGTAGGCCTACTATAGTAATCAGAACAAAAGACCTCTTTATTTTAAGCCCTTAGAGATGATTTGTATGTGGAGGTTCATTCATAACGGAATAATTTAAACACTTTAATTGCAGAGTTGTATTAATAAGGATGTATTTTGAACATTAGATTATTGTCAACGAGTTCAAGTCAGCAGTGAAGTGTTTCCACATGGATGTGCACGAGTGAAAATCAAATGAGATCTGTTATATTATATTTAATGATAAATACTGTACTCATTTTTATCACTGAGGGTGAAGTTGCTTTAAAAATAAGAACAAATTGAGGATTACTGTAGGTAAAGTATCAATTGAGGTTAAAAAAACGAGAAAAAAAAACCAACAAATTATTTACCATGAGATTTGTTGATCTTAAGTGAGATGACAGGCTAGACCTGGCTCCACTCCATATCTTTCAACTTTGACCTTTTTAATATTCAATTGAAGAAACTAGACTAAATTCATGGAGTATTAAGCATTCAATTACATTTTATTTATTTTATTGTTTTTTTTTTCTTGTGTTTTTTTTTTTTTTTTAGCTCAACAACACAGACAATATCTTAACCTTGAATGACTGGCAGAAATTTCAGGCGTCAGGAAAATGAAGACATAATAATGTTTGTCCACATGAGATTTGTTGATCTTAAGCGAGATGACAGGCTAGACCTGGCTCCACTCCATATCTTTCAACTTTAACCTTAGTGCTCTCTTCCAGCCTTGCTGGTTGGCCATAGACCTGTCCTCCATTAATTAGGCCATATATAGTGAGGCCCCTTGAACGCTAATAGCATACCATGCATGCCATTGTTACGCAGTAGCGAAACACATGTGTTGCCTACTGTAGGACACTGAAGATTTGTACATATGTTTCCCTTCAGTCTTTTATCTGGCTAGTTGTCACTGCTGTTCCTAGTAGCTAGCCATGATGATATGCCACTAACCTAGAAGTACAGTGTTAGACAGCTGCATTTGTTTTTGAGCATCATCCTAAGGATAAACTGTTAATGCCATAGTGGAGTTATTGGTAATCTATTTTGCCTTTTGAAGATGCTGGCAGATAAAAAGGAGAGTACCTGATAATTTATGTGTGAGGTCATTTTGTCACCAAGGTTACAGCATCATGGTTAGTTACCAACCCAAAAAAAACTATTCACCTGCAAATGTGATTTATTTTAAAGTAATTATGATACTTCATAGCTGAATTGGTACACCTGTGAATAAGACATGCTCATCTTGATTACACCATTGTATTGTGGACTGATATTGGTTGTTGTTTACTACAACAGACAGTACAATGAAATCAATTAGAGAGGTAATGTTGACTCTTCTAGAGCATTGCATGATTAAAGTCAATCATTTGAGGATCTACTGTACTACATTTGAAAATACAGTACCAATTTATTAATCCATCACACTTCCTTGTTCATGTTGGTCTATAGAAATGCTATAACAAAATATAACCACAGACTAATAATAACACGCTATCACATATTGCTAACTTTAGTAGGAATATTTGCAAGTTTCCCTTTGGAGGTGGCAGCAATGATTCTACAGTAGGATATTTTCAGGGTGTTGGAGGGGGTGCTGAGTTGTCAGGCAGATGGTCTGTTGTTATTTTATTTCTGTGGATGGCAGCAGGTTTTAGTGGCGAATCCCTGATCCACAAGGGGGAAAGCCTCCCGACCCCTAGAGAAACTAGGTAATTTTAAAACATTTCTGAGACGTTGAAATGCTTAAAAACATTAATATTATTGAACTTTTTATTTTTAGTCTTGTAATAAGCTTGGTCTTTCCCGTGACTATAAGCTCATCTGGGGCACATTCCGCCTCTACCACTGTTTTTGCTACAGTAGTTGGAACAACAGATCAGCAAAATTATAAATTAAGATGTTGTACTACTGTGTACGTAATCAATGACGTTGGAGGGGACGGGAACAATATAGTAATATTAATGTGGGGGGAAAAATGTAATTCCAAGCCAATGCAAACTATGTATACCTTTCTCAAGGCCAGCAAAATAATACAAAGCAGTTGCTGTTTACTTTAGTTTTGGATTCATAGCATTTGTTGTAGGCCTAAAAAAACAATTTGCTCCTCACAGATATTCATCCTTGTCGAATATATTATTAGTATTTTGTTATATTGTAATTTTGATTGTAATTTATTGAATGTCGTCACAGATGATTGGGATTTGTAATCAGCGATTACATTGTGACTGTAATGATATTTTGTATTGAATCTCTCACTGTGTACACCAATTTTACGCACTGATGCATATGTGTCCTTGACCCTGACAACCTTTTTCAAGTCCCCTGTGGTTTTTATTGTCACCTGGGTAATGTTATAGAAATGAGCAGGAGATTATTGAGCCATGGAGTTATAATTATAACTCCATGATTGAGGTATACAACTAAAAAGTATACCTTATAAATTTATGTTGGACTTATTTAATTGTGGCTTCCAGGTTATATATTTAATGTAGAGTTTTAGTTGGTGTTTTTTTTTTTTTTTAATTTATTGATGTATTTATTTAGTCTTAATAACTTGTTTACTACTGTACAGTATTTGTAGTAAACATTTACTGATTAATGTTTAAAAACCTGATGTACCATAGTCTGTACCACTTTGACATAGTGATGAACATTAATTATTGGAAGAGCAAGATACTAGTGATTCCAGTTAATGGGTTTCCTCCCTATAACTGCCATCATTTTGTAATCAGCCTGATATGGTACAGTGGTAGCTCATTATTTTATTATCATTTCTTGTTTTTGACAAACATAATCTAGGTTTTTACCAATGCTATGCATCATTGAGTCAATATTTTGTATTTATTATTAACTAAATGTCTGTAGTATAGGCAGGGTCACAGTCGAATATTATGATGAATGTCCTTCCTGTATAGATGTTACTGTACATTGATGATGACTATTTTTTCTGGGAAACTTCATTGAATGAAAATGATTGGCCTACATAAATGGCGTTATTGCGTAATTCGCCTATTTATATAGGCCTCATTTCATGAAAATGTCATCGGTATGGTATGGTATTGCTACATCATCTTTATGTTTACATTCAACATGGACTCAGTATTTTCTATACCTCCTTGTTAAAACCCACAAGAATAACAGATACCTAAAACATAATAAATATAAAGATAATAAGATCAAATACAATGTTAAACTGCGCAAACCGTGTATAGGCAATTCTATTATATTCTATATTATATTATATTCTTTTATGTTTAAGGGTAAAAAAAATCTAATTTTTTTTTTACTGTACCTTACCCTTTTGAACTTTTCTTCCCAAAATTTAAAAATTTCTTTCTGAAAATTAATATGTACCATTCCACTAAATTTTAAGATGATCCATTCCTTATTTTTTGCATGGACGATTCCATGGGTGTTACATTCAGACAGTTTTTAGAGTTATAAATGAATAATACAAATCAAACTCACAAATATCAAACCTTTTCTATATTCACAACAAAACATCTTGCTAGCGAAACAGACTGACAGTTGGCTGAGGTTAAAAAAGAGAAAAAATATTCTGAGCAATTATTAAACAGTGACCACATTTCTTTTCCTGTTTTCTGTTCTTAATTATTGGCCTCTGTTTCCATTTAATATAGTGTCATTCCTGTTTTATTATGAATATGTTAATGTGATGTCATAATTAGTCACATGATATTTGTGAGAACATTGATGAGTATGCAGATTCCCTCTACCAAAACATTTCGTACAAATCTGCCACTGCAGATTTAGGAATATTACCATACCATTTATTTTGAAACTTTGATGTAATGCAGGTGATCCATGTTTTGAAAAAATAAATAAATTAAGGAATAACTTCCATAATGTTTCAGTAGTACAGGTACAGCAGTTTAAATTTAAAGATACTGTAGACCTACTTCTACATTCATGGTTAACAAATTTACAATTGCTAGTGTACAGTAATGGTCCCTTATTGACATACAGTACAAACCTGAATCTAAATGACTTGGGTCCAATTCAAGGATTTTGTTAATAGCACAGTTGTATTTGTTAGAATTTCATAGAAATATGATTGAATGTGAATTCTGTTTACATTATGCTTTAGCCTTGATTTCAATGCAAGTGCTCTATATCCAATCAAGGTCTAAGTTTAATATAGCCAAGATTTACAGACCTTCATCAATGGCAGTTTCCAATGTTCTTTTAAATAATTGTTTATACAAGGTTTCTAAGCTATTGGTTACTAGACATTTCACAATGGGCTTTATACCACTACTGTAATACTAAGAAACTTTTATTTTGTCTGGTTTACTAATGCTGTTCATTCATTGTTAATGCTAGACTACATTTTCCTGGGTTTCCATCAAATACACTGCAAAAGGCTCTTACGTGTATGTTGTAATGAGATTTGCTGATGCGTGACATCACCATTGGCTGTAAATTTGTATAAATTATTGTGTTTTTATAGTAAGGTGAGTGAAATATTTTATGGCTCCCTAGTGTAAATGTGCTATAAATAGGGATCATAGTAGTATTAATTTAATTTTAGATTTCCATGGTGTGATTTTATGATGCCTATATTAGGAGGAAGCATTTCATGCAAAATGTTTAACTTGCATTGTAAGACCTTTTCAACTCCTTTCTTTATGACCTGCCTCCCCCATGGCAGTTGGTACTGTAATAATAATAATATTCATGATGTTTTAAATGTAATCTCATAGTAATGAGTGCAATTAATTTCTCCAGTGTCGAATGAGACTTAAAATCAACCAGTGGCAGATCCAGGAATTCACAATAGACGGGGCCCAGGGAGGTACAGTACTTTAACATATGGAGGATCTATACCACCTCAGTCCCACCATGGTTGGGGCTGAGGTAAGAAACTTTGTGATTAAGGCACCATATAAGACAGAAGACGGTTCCCCAATTCATTTAAAATTATGTTATTTATATAGGAGTTCCCTTCTCGCTACACCCCCTCCTGCAAATATCTGGACCCGGCCATTTTGCAAGTGTCTCTAAACATGCTTGTTGTCACACAAATGGCTGTTTTTTCATATGTTTATGCTGTCGTTTTATGGGATCTTAGCAACAGTATCCAAGGGTTACGGCTTGAAAAATGATAGTACTGTATGTACTTGAAGATTATGTACATAGTAAATAATATAAAGTTCTATTTTCTTAACTGCCAAAATTCTGTAATATTGCAGGAATTCCTACTTTCTAATTGTAACTACACTATACAACTGAATAATGAGACCCCTCTAGACATTTTTTGTCAATGTTTATTTTTAAACCTGTAAGCTGGTAGTAATGAGGGTAATTCCCTTATGATTTGTTTACAACTTGTTTGGAGTAATAAATTTGGCATTATGAATATAGAGTATTCGCCTTTATATAATAGAAACCTATTAGTAATCACTGCATTGCATCCTTGGTATTCATATAAGACATGATGTTAGTTCTATCCGGAACCAGTGAAAAATGGTGTACTGGTTGGGTTACAGCAATTGTCAACTAGGCAGTTAAGTTAAGGTATTAATGATGTTGGTTTGATTCCAAAAATAGGCCACTTTTTTCATCCAATTTATTTATTGCAATTTCTGTGTTTGATTTGATTTTTATTTTAATGTTCATGACTTGTACTAAAGACACACAAATCGTAAAAAGTTGATGAAAATAAACCTACAGTACAAAACAAACTTGTTTATATGACATTTAAAAACTCTGATGTGTTCTGTTTTTAAGTATTACACTATGTGTGGTTGAATACTGTTTGCACACTTATATATATTGATAAATCCATTTGTATTTCATGTTTTTCCTTCTTCTTGTTAACCAACTTGATTTTGACTGACATTACTGCAGGTGTTTGGTTATTCCCTAAGCTTCATCATCATTAGAATCTTTTATTGTGCAGAACCGCTTGTGTTTAATTAGCTGAATACATTTCTTTTGTAGGAGTGTGGTATTGAGGGCTTGGTGGAGGAGCTATGCCAAAAGTTGCAAAAACTACAAGATGAACAAAGCAAGCAAGAAATTGGGAACGGGAATGGAAAGAAAACACAAATAAAGAAAAAAGAAAACCAAAAAAACAGTGCAAAAGAAGAAAACAAAGCAATGAAGTAAGTTATGGTAATGAATTCACCATGGTCGTGATCGACAATCAGGGTGTTTTTTGGGGGTTTTTTTGTATTACATTTGCATTGCACATAAATAATAAACAAACCACACTGCAGGAAGGCAGTATAACAACATAAAACACCATTGAAAAATCAATTTACCATAGAAGACTGAAAAGAAATTTTAAAACAATAATTATTTTGTACTATTATATTTAATGTTACATAAATTTTCATTTTTATAGGTATTTTGAAGCATTCCCTCCCTTGCACACAGCAACCCATGACGGGGAACTAAATGAAAGTTTTTACAAGAAAAATAAGAAGAAAAAATCCCCAACTTTTGCAGAAAAGTTATCGAAAAAAGATGAAAACTTAGTGAAAAGTAAATCAGCTTCCGTGTCGCGTCATAGTAATTCACCTGTTCAGTCTAGTCTCCAAAGGCCCAAAAGTTTACCGAACGTTTCCACCAGAATCATAAACAGAGGTAGTTCTGATTATCCTAAAGACCAACAACAGAGCACTGTGAAACCAAGAAGGAAGCCAAGGAATGATAAAAATAGCAGCAGAGAATCGAAGACAAATAAAACAAGTTCTCCAGTTAAGGCAGAGCGAAAACAACCCAAGAAAGTTGAGTTACTGAAGCAGGATGTTGATACACCTTATGAATCTGATGCAGAGGATGTCAGCTGGTACATTGATCCAGTCATGAATGTCTTCACTACAACATCAGAGAAAAGTAAGTTTGAGACAGTCTATCGCTCTGAGGGCACAAGTCCAGTGTTGGATGGATCCCCGGATGATAGCACCTTGGAGGATGCTGTCAGCTCAATTACGGAAAGTTTATGCAAGGAGATTATAGATGAGATGGCTATGTTAGACGACCTTCCTGTGGATGGAAAACAGGAATGTCCTGGCTTGGAAAATTTTGGAGACGTTTTACTGAATCCGGTTGGCAAGGCAAGGAATTTTAAGTGCAATACATTACCAAGGATTGGATCTAAAGGTTTTGGTGATGTTCCCAGGCCATTGAGTTTTATAATGGATGACAACCTGGGTTTCGTAATACCAGGTAGTAGCAATATGGATGAAGAAGATGGAAGTGGTAAGGATGACGACAGCTCACAAATGAAAGAGCTGCTCGGATCGAAGTCCCACTTAGCAGACATATGGAAGTCCGAAGAACCCAAGGTTACCAATCCCTGGAATACCGACAGCAACTGTGAGGCTTCATTAGGGGATGAAAAAAGTGTAACATCTCTAAGAGTTTTCACTGGAGCTCATGAAAATGTCGAAGACGATGCAAGATCAAATAGGTCATTTGTATCAGACTCATTATCCGATAGCCTACTCCAGATTTGTGATCATAAGCATGATCACGAACATGTGAAAATGTCAATGGCACTAGTAGCATGCAACCCTACACATACACAGCAGCATTGGTCTCAAGCTGATTATTCTACCAACTTCATGCACTACTCATCAGAAGATGAAAACGGGGTGGCGTTTGTTACACATCCCACGCAGGATGCCTATCAAGCTACTGGTGCCTTGAAGTGTGGTTATCAACATGTTCAACAGCCTGGTAGAGATGTAAACAATGCCCTGTGGTCCACGTACGATATGCAGGAGTCTTGCGTACCCCCGCCAAAAATCGTGACATGGGATTGCAGCCAACAGGGTGTTGGACTGAGTAAGTTTATGAAGAAAGCGAAATTCATCGAGGGCGGTGTTTATGGCAGCCCTTATTCTAGTCATAATAACAGCCAGTTGAATAGTGTATGCAGTAGCAGGACAGAAAGTCCATACGATGACAGTCTGCGTGACCTTTGGGAAACTTCGTTCAATGAGGAAGTGCAGCTGGACTCTAAGCTCCTGCATCACGCTGTTATCACTCGTCAACACATTTCTCAGCTGCAGAGGAAATCAAGTAGTGTTAGTTCTATTTCGTCATCACGGCGAAACTCTGCTCTCGACTACAACAGTGACACAGGAGCATTCTGTGATGATGCTGGCATAGACAGCCCAGTGTTTGTTACTTCAAGAAGAAACTCATCTCGGTTCGACTTTGCCCGATCCGGTGGATATGTCGAAGATGATGGCAACTCGGAACTGCATCCTGGTGATAGTCACCAAGAACTATTCGATGAGGTTATGAAGGAAACAGAAGATATTTTGGAACTTACACAAAGTTTAAAGACGGCTTGTACCGTCAACTCTGAGACAAACGAACAAGTATCGTTTGAACAAGATATAAAGGATGTTGAGGAGACTGAGTGTGACTTCATTCCATGGTGTCCTTCGACAACACAAAAGACAGAAAGCGCTAGTGATTCAGAGAGCTTATGTGGCAGTCTAACAACCATTAAGCCTGCTATTACAAAACCAGAACCAATTAGGAATTTGAAGAGCCAACCTATTGGTTTTGGCAGTAGTTATGATAAACACAGATCCACCATGAGCCCTCATGAACAGAGCCGCAGGGAAATTGAAGATCTGTTGATTTCACCGAAAACACATTTTCGTCCGATCAGGGAGAGTTTCTCTTCTGAAGATTCACCTGTGGCCAGAGATGAGAACTTCAACAGTGAGCAATATATTACTGCTGACAAAGGCAGCACACTTGTGCAATCATTTGAAGGATTACAATTCTCCACATCAACACCTTCTAGGTCTACATCAAATAAACACAGGCTATCAATGGATTGCACTAAACGATACTTAGAAAAAATTGGCAAATGGGATTTGTCGGAAGCAGGATACCTCTCTGATGGAAATCAACCAAGAACTTTGTATCCCAAAAAACAAAATCGTTATTTCCAAAAGGAGCAAGCAAAGGAATTTGATAATATCTCCGCATCATTTCCGACGCACTTTCTGCAACAAACGCCTCCTTATTTAACTGGTGCAGAATACATGAGTGAAGTCTTTGATATTCAGAAGGAAGATCAAAAAGATCTTCCTTGTCTGTGTGGTAAAGCATCCACTGAAGGTCCAGTTAATGTTGTGGATATTGGGCAACCATGCCCAAGACATGCTAGGTGGTTCCAGACATGTGCAGGAGGTGGAGAGGACAGTGACAGTGCAACATATGGGTTTAGCACTGGAGGTGAATATGATCCAACTGTGAACATGGACTACGATCAACAGGTATTATTTTATTTTTAATTCTGCTAATTTTCTAAACTATGTGACTACCAAATCACTAATATTAATAATAATAATAATAATCATCTAGTATTTTTTTTATTATTAATTATTAATTTATTTTATTTATCTTATTTTTATTAATTATTATTAATTGCTATTATTGTTGTAATTTCATTTAGATAAAGTATTTTTATTGCATTGTCAGCTTTCAAAAGATTGTTTATAATTAATTATTTTTAGTATTTAAGTATTTCAGTAATATTAAGTTAACAGTGTAATATTACAGGTATATTTGCTGCAAAGCAGCCAATTCATATTCTTGACAGAAATTTGACCTCTGAAAGGTCATTGTTTGTCAAAAAACAATCGCCTAAGACAACTGAAAAGCGGAGTTTACTTCTTTCATTCTGCCAGGTAAAATCAATTACTTTAGGCGACGTTTGTAGACTAACCTACTCGTACCAACGTCGGTATGTCGCGACGCTGGAGTACTATTCAGCGTTTTTACTATATTTCTAGGTTTCCTATTTCTACGTTTAATCGGCTCATATCTCAGCCACAATATTTTGAGGCCAATTTTATTTACGAACCCAGTTAAACTTATTTACTAGCCTATTTCAATGTGCTAATTATTACATTTAGGCAACGCTTGTTGTAGACTGGCATAGTGTTTTCGGAAATAAATACCATTTTATACACATGCGCAGATCGATTCGCCAGCAGCGAGTAATCGCCAGCAGCAGCGAGTCGCCAGCAGAGAGATGTCACTGCAGCATTATTGTACACGGTACCAACGCTGTTCTAATATAAACAATGGGTCGTGCTCATATTATTTGTTATACTTTTATTATTCATTATTTTCACTTGACTCGCATAAATAATTTTGTTCAAAGAACATTTTATGCAGTTGTAATTCGCAGCACTTCACTTGCAATTTCTAGTATATTTGATAAAAAGGAAAAGTATAGTACTCTAGTAGGACTGCTCACTATTAATTTTAAACTGAAGTTTTGTAAATAGCACTGTACAGTTCCACCATTCTGAGTGTTGACCATTTCCACCTCTGAGAACAAGCTGCTAGGCTTTTGCTGAAGTCTTGCATAAACATCAAAAGAACCATTCCCTGTGAATTATAATCAGAAAACTATATGGGGGACTGCCGTCCCAACCCAGCATCAGTTGTCAAAACAATAAAATCTGCATTTTAATATCCATATTCTCCTCATTCTGAATGCAGTGATGAGTCATTTACCGGAATCAGCTTAAGTTATGAGTGAAAGTATTACACTGTTACAGCTTATTTGTAATATAGTGTATAATACTGCCACATTATTTTGCTAATGACTCAATTTAACATACAGCAACAGTACACATTAAGAAATGGCACGCCTCATCATATAATACTGTACATTAAGGGACAAATGAGTTATTCTTTTCTTTTATTGTTTTCTCCGACAGATATTTCCTTATGAAGATGATGTTTTTGTACGCCACATGGAAGAAAATAAGATGCCTAAGAAAGTGGTCTTCTCATGTGATTTAGAAGAGAAGTGGCTGCAAGAAAGTGAGCAAGCAACAAATGGGCATGGATACAAGAAGAAACCAAAAACAAAGAACAGTAAGGATGTTACCCTTGCCTGACCAACACAAAAATTCCCAAAATTCTACAGCTGGCTTTTTTTTTTCTAATTGCCAAGCCAAGCCCAAAATATTTGTACACATACCTGCACAAAAATTCCCAAAAATTTAGGCCTTTTTTTTTTGTTGAAAAGTACCAAGAACAGCCCAGAATATTTATATACGTATCCCCATTGCTTACATTATGTACCCGTCTGTCCAAACAGCTTTTTTAATATTGACAAAATTCATAAATTTGAAAGTTGGACTTCTCCTATCGTAGCATCTCAGTTTAGTAGTAAGGTTCTGTGCAGGGCTACGCCTTGCCACTGGAGCCAAGGTCCCATGGAGATTTTTTGTCGCTGAATATGACTTGAATTTTTATTGATTTCAGCTACAGAATAATACTGAAGTCAAAATTGTTTGTACTGGCTATAATGTATTCATATGTTTGATATAAGTTTTAAATAAATCTGCAAACATTGAAAGTAAAACAATTTTTATCCCCTTTATATGGAGTTACTGTAAATTAGTTAAAGCATTTCTTATGACCTTTTGAACAGCACCACCAGCAAACAAAATGTCAGTATTGTTCTTAGTGAGCACTCCCCTGCTCTCTCCCCCCCCCCCCCCTCCGTTGACAGATTATTTATCGTCTAATGCTCATGTGATTTCTTCATTGTTCTTGTAGGGCTCCAGCCTAAGCCTTGTAGCTTTTTCTTGGAGGGAAAGTGCCGGAAACTTGATTGCCGTTTTTCTCATGATCTGAGCACCATTACGTGTCGCTTCTGGGAGGAGTCCACCTGCTTTAAAGGGGATGACTGCCCATTCCTTCATGATTATCCAAGGTGAGACATTCATTGCATCCATAGTACCCAGCATTCTTTAATAACTTAACCCTTGTAGTCAAACTATCATGTACTTTGTCATTTTGACTCCCCCCCCCCTCAAAAAAGGAAAATTAAGTCCAACCATCAGCGTAACATTTCTCGCAATAAAATTACTCAATCTTTGCAGTCAGTTTAACTGCCCTCAAAGAAAAGTTGAGCTGATTTCTCCAAACAGAAATGTTACATACAAATAGTAGTAATTAAAATATTGAATACATATTGTATTTTTCTTTAACTTTATAGTGAGCAGGCCTGTAACGTTAGTGGAGAGGCTGAAAAATTTGTTCCAGCCCCAAAAAGTCATCCAGTGAAAGAAACCCAGACACATCCTATTCCAACATTAAAGGTATAGTTGCTTTTTTTTTTTACTTTCCATTGCCTCTGCCAAGTGCGAGTTTCCGTGTCTGCTTTTTGCATGGGTTGGTATATGTTCAGAGGGCGCCCTCACTCATGCAATCTTTTGTGTTGCCGGCAACATAATGCAACAAACAAACATTCGTTATTTTTACGTAATCGTCTAGGTGTATCTTCCCCGAATTATTAGCCATTAAGTCTGTAGTTCTACAATAACAATAAAGTAATAAACGCTAGAATATTACCCTGGTTTTGACGAGTATAGTCGTCCCTAGCGCCCTCAGCAACACCCTGTGGGACGAGTATACTTGTTGCTTGCAGCGAACATGTTAATAAGATAAAATAAACCATGAATATCTTATTGATTTCATTAAATGTTTTTAAAAATTCAGAATGAATCATCACTTATCAAGAAAGGTATCTTTGCATGGAGGAAGAAACCAAAGTTAATAAGGAGCAGCAGCCATGGAAACAGTAGTGCAAGGCAATCAAGGACATCTTCATCATCATCAGCCTCATCATCCTCCAAAATGGCAACCTCATCTAGTCAACCTATACCTGTTGTCAAGGCAACAGAGAGAAGTAATTTTAAGTCTTTACCAATTAATATTAAGGCCAAACCTAGGTAACAAAGGCTTAAATTAGGTGAAATATTTTATAATTTTTTTTTTATAATAAATATATAAATATATACATATGAAACTTTAATTTATTTATTATTGATTTAAGGGTATAGATTGATTGCAGGGATTGGTGAGTGTAAAAGATGTGTATCTTGGATGAATGAATATGTCATATGCCTCTTTCATAATTGAAAAAGTTATATTGATGTTTTACAACTGGATATTAGAATCAAATATCCCTTTGTTACAATCTAATTTTCAAAGTTTCTATGTACAATTTTTTTTTTCTAACCCCAGATGCCTATGTAGGACGATTTAAAACATTCATTTTTTTAATTTTGTATAAATTTTTTTTTTAATAGTAAGTCATTGAAAGATATAAATTTTTTTTACTAGTAAGTCATTGAAAGATATCACATAAGTCAATTCCAGAGTTTTGGAATAAGTGATGTAGTTATTAGAGCTAATGGAACTCGTAAATTCAATTTCCATTAATTCATTGATAAATGAAATAAATAAGACTTAACTACTAGCTCTTTTCCTAACACAAATCAAAGAGAATCAAAGTCTAGTAGAATAAGCTTATAATATATATCAGCTCTTGTGCTTCAATGCTGCCGTTTTGTGTCCGAGTGATCTTAAAAAAGCATCCTTAAATTTCAACTATTTGAAATAATAATGAGAGTAATGGTCCTCGTTGGAATAATCAGCAGCTGCTCTCCTTCGCTGCACTTTAAAAACAAAAAAAAAATCTAATAAATAATAAATTGTTTATGATCTGTGCAGTTGATAGATTGATGTCATTGTAACATGGTTCATGAAATTTAAATGTTTTAATGCTCATCTTCACATTAATCTATTCAGAATATTATTTTTTCTTCTTTATTTCAATAATAAGATGCAAAAATAGAACATAGGTCACTTTGATATCTATGTTGTAATCTCCATCTTAAAAGGTTCTTAAAAGCTGAAAGGTCAACATTGGTCGAGTGTTAGCATGATCATGCTTTCTCAGAAAAACACTTAGTGTTTCTATATTCTTTATTTAAATTCTAGTTACTGTACTGTCTAGCCATAACTATCTATATCTGTGCCAAACCACCATGGTACTATTTTTTCTATCCCCTTTGGCAAGCAAAAGATATGCCAATCTATGTCATGTCGTACACTTTTGTAGTATGTACTTTTTAGTATCGACCTGATTTGTGTTTACATGAATATTGGTGATTAAATTGTTGACTAGCAAGAATCATCTGGTCTTTTGTTAGGCTAGGTAGGTATAACAACATGGATGCGAAAAGTAGCCTAGGGTTGTATAGAAGGACCATGAGTGCATACTGATGAACCTATATGAGCAGCGATTCGCCATTAGCAAACCAATCAAATATATGCATATGCTGATATGTGGTCAAAGGTCATCTACTTAGCAGATTACCAGATATATACACAGTATGTATGCATTATGACATCTGTTATTTTGCATTTGAATTTGTCCGGTTTGTTGACACAGTGACAGGTCCCAATGTACTGTAGGAACTTTGGAATATTATACACAAGTAGTGGATTCTATACAAATCTATAGCAACTAATAGTGCCATTGTTATACATGTACAATAAATGCATAGTAATTGAGTCACTCAGCGCCACCAAACATTACTTCATGTGATGGAATTTGGCGCTATGTGAGTTAATTCAATTGATTGATTGAGTATGGGTGTGTATCGTGGGAGAAGACATCTAGATAGGGGTATGTTTGTAGGGGTGGGGTATGTACAGTATGTATGTGGGAAGTATGTATATATTTGAGGTATGTCTGTAGGTAAAGGGGAGTATGTGGGGTGTACAGTATTTGCGAGTGTGTTCATACTTACCGTAGATGCTAGATCCGCATCTCTTAAGATTTATCTAATTAATAAACCCACCATTGGGAATCGGCATTGAATATCAAACCTAATGCATTATAGTCTTTGGGTATTGAAACCAATATGCTTTTACATGCATAATAGTTACAATGTACTCAGATTCTAAGTACACCTTCATTTTTTTTTTTTCCTTTAGTAAGTGCAATATAATGGACTACTGTATATGATTAATTTCACTAACACGTTATTAATGTTTACAATATAAAAAATGTACCTATAAAGATGGTATTTGTCTTTCTAGTCTTCTGAAAGTATACAATACATTACAGTAACTAATAATCCATGAAAGTCTGCCATTGCAGCTTCAATCCCACCCACTTTTAAAATCCAATAGGAATATTAAAAGCTGTTATAATCTAAGCAATGGAAGTAGTGATTACTATTAGGCCTACCTATACTTACATTTTATTCTATAGTCCATTAGATTATTGTTTTTCTTTCTATTGTTATTGTTTTATTATTTATTATTGTTATTATTATAGATATTATTATTATTATTATTATTATTATTATTATTATTATTATTATCATCATCATCATAGGCCCCTACTATTATATTATTGTTATTGTTATATTACTTTATTATATTAATTTATATACAATATAATTTACTTTTTAATTTTTATATTTCATATATATATATATATATATATATATATATATATATATATATTATACATTTATATATATATACATTTATATATATTCATATATTTATATATACATATATAGTAAGTTTTTGCATACAAATTACAAGGCACATCCTTATACCATTGTTATGATCATTCTCACCCTGTTAATAATGAGGTTGATACCCCTACATCACACAGGATAGATAGATAGTTAATCATCTAAATGTGACAACCATCTATATTCACGAGCACACTAAAGTTGTGTGATTGTGTGTTAATGATAAAGGAGAGAATTAAAAAAAAGGAAATTAATGTAGAAGGATATAAAAAAAAATTTTATTTCCAGAAGCTATGAATGCTTAAAATATCTAAAAATAGATCTAAAGTCACTGTATACTTGATGGATGTAGTAGAGCTGTGGAATTGTGATCAAAGTACTTGCTTTCCCGTCTGAAATACCTGGGTTCAAATCCTACAAAAGTTGACTAAGCCTCATGTTGAGACTTCAGTTCATAGAGCAGCATATTGAGATGACCTATTAGCTTGGTGGGTTCCAATCCCAAAGTCATAGGTTCAGTTCTTTAAACACCATCATATTTTTTTTTTCTCATAACTAAAATATGTTAAATAATTCACAAAGTGAATATTCAGCCATTGAGAATTTGAAGTAATTTTTTCGTTGTTTGAATTATTTTGATTATCAGTATGATGTTCATTTGATACTGTAATTAAGGCATTTTCCTTATATTTTGTATTGATCGAGGTAATTGGAATATTTTTCTGTCACTCACCATCTTGAGGGCAGCAGACTAATGTTAAATTCATTTCTCTTTTGAATATTACATAGGAATAACAAGCTTTTACTATCTACTACAGTGTTTGTTTATTTTAATTCATCAATTTTATTTTTTACTAGGCTCATTCTACCAGCTCAGATAGCAAAAAAGAAACAAATTTATAAAATAATTTTTAATCTTAAATTTTAGAAAACAAATTGCTATGATTAGAGCATCTTGTTTCTTTTCTAATTGCAATTGACATATAAATATTTTAAAGAATCTATTGGGACTAATAACAGAATTTAAAAAGCGAACTACAGTCCTGTACAGATTACCAAACATCAATAGTCTTTCGTTAATAAAAAAAAAATAAAAATATATATAAGTAGAAGTTTAACAGTTACTCTCTTCTCAAAAGCAATGAAATAAAGAGTGAGGTGAGTTACTAATTAATTTAATCAGCACATTGCATAAAACATTACTGAATGTTTCAGCAATGCATTCTCAAATACTGTAAAAATAGAGATAAAACTACTGTTTAAATGTACATTTCTGTACCTAATTGTTAATTAATAGGGAACCTATTAATAAGCTTTTTTTAATGAATAGAACATTTAACAGTAAGTTGCATGAGTTTCCCATCTTTGTTCCATTTTTTTATGTAAATATTTTGAGTAATTTCTCGTGGTGTGTTGAGGTTTAATTGTTGCATTTGTGAGTGATGTAGACTAACATTAGAATACTGCCTTTGATGTGTCTTTACATTTGCTATACAAGACACAAGGTTGTGAAAACAGGAAAGCTTTCTGTCGTTGCCCTAAAGGGGCATATATAGTTGACAATTTAGTAGCGTAGAAGTAGCAGGGGTTTACATAATATGCTACAACTAGATATCCTGTTGTGTATGCTATTTTTGAGAGGGTAAGTGAAATGTGAGTTTGTATTGTGATTGCCTGTCATTTGGAACTTTTGATTTCCTAGAGATAATTATCCCAGCAACAATTTTTATTATAAAAAAAAAAGTTGCAGTTATGAATAAAAATTAGATAAAAATTTAAATATTGAATATTAACTATAAAAAAAAATTGGTGGATGGATGAATAAATTCTTGAAAAAATTGATGCAAATTTACAGATGATACAAATATCAAATAGAAAAAATTAGGTTAACATTCGGTAATGTTAATGTTTGATGTATGGAATGAACAATATTTTTTTGAAGCAAATTTTTTAAAACTAATAAGCAGAATGTAGCATTACCTCAGAATCTGTAAAAGAGTTTCTGTGTTGATAACCCTGACCAATAAATTTCAGTATTGTAATTGCTTAGTTTGAATACTAGATAAGCTATAAGCTTTCAATTGTAAATTAGAACAAGAAAATGTTTTCCTTGCTGATTAACAAATGCATTATTAATATTCTTTACATATATTAAAATGTTCATAAATTCAAATTAATTATTTTGATCAGTGTGTACTTGGAAGTTGATAACTTATTAAGCTTCTTATCAGTAAGCAATTTAATAAATTTTCAAGGGTTTTTAAGATTTTGACATGGTAATGGTTTGCGACTTCACAGCACATAATACATATGCTCTATGCACAGCAACATGCACTGTTAACATTCACTGTATTTATTCATCTACAGACATAAGCTCACGCATGTTAAGTTCCATGTTCAGAGGTAAATGTTAATGTGCCTGCAGATTTGAAACCCTATCTCCCAACACTGTATTTACTTAGTTTAGATTCTCTGACAATGATTAGTGCATACATGATGGAAAGAGAAGCTATTTTCAGACTCGTTTCATATGTTAATCAACTTTCTTCGACGGGAATGATACTCTAATAATAAAAAATACAGAGTTCTTTCCACAATGCATTATGATAATTTCAGTATAGTATATTTGAACCACACAATTGCCTTAATTTCTTCTTATCCGCCTTGCTATTCAGATTATTTTGAACAAAGTAGTGATCTGTACATAATTTAGTGTCTATTTTGAATGAGCTAGTAACTGTGAAATTTATTGCAAATTTTGACAGTTGTTGATAATTATATGCAAGTAATTTTAGACATCAAGTCGTTAGAATTATGTATGCATATGCATACGCACATTTTAATAAAATGCTGGTATATTTTACCACATGTAAATGGGGTTTTTTTGTTTCACATCTGGGATTTTTTAAAATCAAAATTAGCATAATGAATTTCAAACTAAAGAGACAAAAGATGTAAAAAAGTATTTGCATTTAAGATTTTAAAAAAAGTTGATTTCACATGGTCAGTGATTGACTTATTACTTGTATCTATTTTGTGAATACTTAACTGGATAAATAAATTTATTCCATTTCTCTCAAGAGACCCTTAATTACCACATTGAACTATCAGATGCTGGCACTCCTACTCATCACCTATAGATTATTTTTCCCCATCTGAAAATTACCATTAAAATATACATATCATTTCAAGTGTTGGTAAAATGTCTTAACACTTCTGAAATTCGTAAGTCATTATTAGTATGAACCTGTGAGTTATCTGACTACAATACGATTATTTATATTCACATCATTGTCTGGGGATTTCTTAAGGTGTTTGTAATTCTGAAGTTGACGTAGAATAATACACAATGCTAATGAAACTGTAAGATTAATAACAAGTAGGCTGACAAGTGTGTAGTTTAATCTTTGGACAACAATTCTGAAGAATAATTCAACAATTCTGTTGATAGGTTTTGTTTATTTATGTAATTAAAGAACATTAATTTTTGAATATAAACTATCAAAAAAAAATTGTTACTTTTAACTTGAAAAGTCTTGATAATGATAATGATGAAAGCATAATGTGACTTTCCACCTCAAATTGAGTCGTCTGGTCTTCATGTTCATCGTTTTAAGTTTCCACTGTCATACCGTTGATTATTACTGAACTAGAGTATGCAAGGGCAGCTCTTCTCAGCAGATTGTGTTTTCCCTATTCTTTGTATCGCCTGTCATTTTGAGATAATATGGCCACGCTGGGTTGTAACATTTCACCGAAATGTGCCTTAGGCTGTTTGTAGATGTGTAACAAAGTAAGTTTCTATTCAAATAATCTGATTAAATTCTTCAAATTTATCTTCTTCATTTCCAATAATGAAAATATTACATTTCCTTATAATGAAATAGTCGTTGGCAAGTGAACTGTTGCAATGGCTACATTAAATTTAAGTCTAAATATATAACTGATCCCATAATGATAATTAGTATTTAATTATAAATGATTACTGTCTTCCTTGCATCAATAATATCAGTGATTGTTATTGATGGTGTGTCATGATTCAGTGATCATAGTTTCTGTGGTTATCACTCTAAGTTGTGATAAATCTTACTGTATAGATAAGATTTAATAGAGTAGAACCATAACCTGGTGCAGTCCTATTTAGAGAGGACAAGACCAGTAAAAGGGAGTGTTGAAATACAGACCATTAATAAAGGGGTGATGAAATTTAGACCAGTAATAAATGGGGGGAGGAGAGTTATAGGCCTGTAAAAGAGGAAGGGGAGAACAGATTAGTAAGTAGGTGGGGTGGAAGAATGAGGAGGGAGATATGAAGCTGTAGAAGCAAAGATGAGGGGATTTACAATATGTGAAAGAAGGGATTTCTAACAAGTTAACCAGTGACTTACGAATGTATTATTTATATTGATCTGTGTTTAATTGTGAGGCCCACCCTCTCTATATTTGTTGTTTAATTGAATTTTAAAAATATGTTAATTAATAGATTGATTTATTGATTGAGTGATTAAGTCGGTATAATACCAGAATTGTCAATGTAGCTTTGTCAGTGTTTAAACCTCATGAAAAAAATGATTATATCATTATTGATAATATTTTTATTATTACTGCTGTTGTTTGTAAGTTAGTATTGTTGCTTATGTGAGATGTGTACTGTATGAAGAAACCCAAATATGAGTTCACTGATGAATGATATAACAATGCTGTAATTCATTCAAGATGTGGAATTCATTTAAAAATTTAGCATTATCAGGTTTCCCATATTCTATTGACCAAGTTTGTCAATTAAAATCCTATGTTTTTTTGTATGCCTTTTCTCAAAGTCAGTCGTT